TCTGATAAGAATGGTTTTTCCTGTGCCGCAAAGTAACTCATTTCTGGAATCATATTGAAACCACAGCTTTTTTAGTTGTGTTTCTACCTGTATAGGAATTTGTGTCTATTGAAAGCTAAAGTATTAATTCACTCTGTTTCGAGAAAATAATAAACAAGCTATCAGATGCAGGTTGGAACTGAAATTGCGCATCAGCACAAAGTATTTGGTCAGCCAGAGCTCTGACATTGACTTTTTTCCCTTCTCTGTCATCACTAAAATTACTATACGACTTCAGGATAGACTTGGCCAATGTGCAGAAGCCAGGCCAAGCCATTATTATTGCAACAGAGCATATAGGAGGTAGTTTTCTGTAATACATCAAGCCCTTTTATATAACTTGCCACCATTTGGATCAACAGTGCCAATGTAAAGCAACAAATGCTACAGTAGCTGTTGTTGAAGGCTGTGTATACTGTACATGGATGTGCTCACGGGGGTAATATCAGTGTATGCAGCATCTAACAACAATGTGTGTGCATTTGAGTACCAATGAAAATGTTTTTATTTAAAAGGCTGATGTTGTTATGACTTACAACTCAGTAATTTTTCACATTTAAAACATCTTACTGAGAGAAGAAAGGATTACATCAAATTAAATGATTGACTGTTACTCTTCCCATTATGGGAAGCCAGAATTGGGTGATAGGAATGAATGCTGAATTAAGACGCAAAACTGCCTTTAAACTATGTTTCTCTTTATGGTGTGAGTGTCATTTTTTTTTTCTTTCTAAGGTGGAACGCTGAAGTCCATATTCATTGTTGGCCTCACTATCAATGAACCTACACTTAAGTATCACTCATGTTCAGACACAGGCATGTGCTTGGAGCACCACATTAGTTAATTTTTTTCCATGCCTTATTAAGATGCTGCAGTAAAAATAGTACATTAAGGTGGGTGTGGATTAAAATCAAACTTGTGACCCATCTATCAGTCACAAATTAGAATATCAATGGTCCATGTCTGGATTGTACTGACTGGATGGAAGAGTTTCAGTGATGTCCTGGGACAACGATGCTTTTTCTCACCACAGCACATTGATGAGAGAACTGGAAGCTGAAATACTATTCTCTGCTTATTTTTTAGTCTTCAATAGCCATTACGTCTTCTTGGATTTTTTCTCCAATGTCTTGACACGTATTCCCGTCATTCCTGTGGTTTGTTCCAGTTATTTTGGTCTGTTTCCAAAGTAGAGACACACAAATACAGTACAGTAACTACGGTATTTAAAAGGCTGCCCTCACAAGAAGGGTCTGTTTTAGCAGATGACTTGAAAATGAGATACAGTGCAATATCAACAAATTAGGCAAGAGTGCCACAATTAGCATGGCTATCTGTAAATGCATTGACTGTGTAAGAAACAATGAGTGATTCATCCAAAAATGTTACTAACCAAAGACCTGGGTTACATATGGCTGCTATTTTGGAGTCTGTCTATGTAATTTGTAACCTGTGTACCCGATTCATTGACATTTGTAAATCTCTTTTGCTTATAGACAACATGTTAACTCTGCAGTCCAGAAAGATTTTACTGTTTTTTTTTTAAGATTTATGATGTCTGAAAAATAGCACAAATGCACATGCTTGCCTTCTGGCAGCTGTGCTCCCCTTTTTATGATGAAGAACAAGTTTCCATTATCATTCTCCCTGGTTTTGTCTAGAATTAAATTAAGAGAGGGCTAAACATTTATGCGAATAAACATATATTGCAATTCTATACTATAAATTGGTGATAGTGACAGTCCTTTGCATAATTTATTACAGGGAGATTTTGAATGTAAAAATTATTTATTTGACAGCAAGCTGGAAGACAGATTACTTGGGGTCTACACACTCACACTTCTGTAATTGCTCATAAATTATTATGGTTCATGCTGATATGCACTGAGATTTCTTTAGGCCAATGAGCTTAGAAAAATTACAAATTACAATATATTTTTTAAACGGGGAAGAGTGGAGATTATTTGAAATGCTTACGGAGAGCGGTTGTGCTGCTTTCTAATTCATAGAAAAACCAAACATTTCCATAATGAGGAAGATATAAAACATAAGAAGGAAGAGGTTGTTGGTTTTGTTTGTAGTAAATGTTTGTTATTAAGGTGGCTCATAATCTTTACAAACGTATCTTAAGAGAGACGTATACACAGTGAAGTCATAAACTGCAGTAACATTTTGCTATCTTTATGAAGTTAGCCAAATCAAGGTGTGCTTGTCCCATTACTTTTCAGGCCAGAAGTCAAGATTGAGTTTAAAAATCCTAATCTGAGGATTGTGGTTGTCTCGACTTTCTATGGGTGCTAATTAAAGGTGTATTGTATGTTGAATCACCTGAAGTCCTGACATTGGTTCAGATCTGGGCTATGTCATCAGCTGACTGTGAGGTATTTCCCTAGCTAGTTGGACTTACTGTACAGTAATTGACTCTCTACCACCAGGATATGATGAGCTTGGTCTGGTAAGGGTATCCTTAAGGGTATTCTTCCAACACACAGTCATGATCCCACTTGTTTTCTTGGATACCTATGTGCTTGCAGTATTGTTAATGACATTGGCATTTTTCTTCCAAACAAACAATGCCATCTTGAATATAATTGTAAAAATAATATTTGTGTAAGAGTTTATATAAACTCTATACATACATATATACAGTACATACATAATGTATATAGTTGTATATATATTTTACATCTTGGTGATTTCAACATACTATAGATGTGGATTCGAACTGCTGGGCTATTACCAATTTCTGACCTACTTTTGACTGCTTTTGCTTTACTCAGCGTGATAACTTCTGAGCACATATATACGGCCATACACTAAACCTAGTCAATTTTTCTTGTGTGGAAATACATGTAGATGTATATTTACAATTTACAAGTGTTTGAACTTGGCATTTTGACCACACAGCTGTCCTACTTGTCCTGACAACTTCCCCACCCCATCTTAATAGAAAATTACATAGAATGAGATTGGTTAGTTCACTATTTTGATGGAGGAGATTTAAAAAATGTCTTTTTGCTTGAAGTTTCTGTTACTCATTACAATTAAAACCTAACACAAGTTATAGATGTTGCATTCGATTGAAAGTCTAGCCACTATAAATCCTCATCTACCTTCTTTCTTCCCCACAGTAAACATGTGGAATTGTGCTCTATGATGGCAACTGAATGATGTCTAGAATATCTGTAGAGAAAAATAAAAGAAAGGACTGATTGTTTATTTACAGTATTGTTGACAACAGATGCCTAAAGACGGCCATATCCTCTTTGTATTCCAGTCTTATTGAGAGGGGTGTAAACCCTCCCAATCTTTTCTCTGCACTTTTCTCTATGATCAAATACAGTAAGTCTATACTTCTATACAGTGGTGGAACTCGGTCACATAATACTTTCACAGTAAAATATGTAACATTAATATCTTTGCCTCCTAAGCTGGCCTTGCCTCCTGCAGACAGGAAAGCTACTCTTTCCCCTTTTCATGGATTCTAAAATCTCATTTCACTGATTTTAATACCACTTACAGTATGTAGCCGAGTTGGCAGCTAAAACAGACCTGCTGCCTGTGTAGAAGCTAGCTTCCCTGTTTTTTATCCATTTTACTTATCAGTCAGTAAGACCTAATCAATCAGTCCATTGCAATCATAGCAATATGATTTTCCTCCTGTTGGTGCTATCACGCTTGTGTTTTAAAGGAAAACTAACTTGGATGCTCAGGTACTTAACAACTGCCTTATTATTTCTAATTTGCCTTTTCTCACAAAACTTCTGAAATTGCCAGTGCCAGATCAAATACTGTACGTCTCACCTTACATTTAAAGAGCAGTTTGAACCTTTTCAGTCACTGTTTAGGCAGAGCATCGCAGGAGGACACAGTCTCTGCAGTACTCCCTTGTAAATGTTTTGTTAAGTTACAGTAGACAATGGTTTACTGATGGCTTCTGACTCAGGGTTACTTAATATTCCTCTACTTAAGTGCAGTAATGTACTGTGCATCCTGCTTGATCCATGGAAAGTTATTTGTAAATATTGGCCATATTTAGGTTGATTTTCTCCCATTCAGACTCCCTGACATTCAGATTTACTTGCAAAGCTAGTAGTAGTACTTTTCCAATAGTATTTGAACTTTACAGTTGTCTGTCTGACAACTGACAACTGTGTTAAAATATGGAAGAAACAGAGCTTTCTTGAGATAATATGTGTCAAGAGGATGTGTTTATATGTTCCCAACATCGTGTTCACAAAGTTGGTCAACAATAATGCTGTTGACCATGCTGAAACAAACACCTGATGAATATTAGAATCCTGTTTTTTTTCTTTTTACCCTGATAACATTTGTGTTCAAATCAAATGTGTAGTCATTTGAAGCTTATGTTAGGAAGAACATCTTTTTCGCATGTAGCTCATGTGCCAAATAAAAGCACTCAAGATAACTTCCATCCTCTTTATTTTGCACTGCCATCCTACAACATTTAAAATGAACTTTAAACTTCTGTCTAATAAGTCACTGAATGGTCTAGCTCTTAATCTAAGATCTGATTACCCAGTCTCAACGGTAAGACTCCGCACATTGGGACATCCTCCATGTGTGCTGAACCAATTCCTTCTTATGTGGTGTACCAAATCCATTAGACACTTTACAGTAGCTGTCATTTTCAAACTTTTCTGAAGATAGCACTTCGTCATATCTATTAATGTCTAATTTACTCATGGTTGCCGTAGGTTAATTTGATGTGCTTTTCTTTATTTATTCCTCCATGAGGTGTTGCACGTGAGTTCTATTCCAGAACACTTTGAACTTGTGACATTTGCAAATTCTTTCTCTGCTTTTATGCAGTCATTTAGTGATGGTTATGTATGCTCATCAGTCCTCTAATGACTGTTTTGTTGTGGTTGTATTCAGCAGTTGGTCTGTATAAACTTCTTCAAATCCATTAAGTGTTTTTTCTGCTTCTGTTTTCTAGTGGATGGCTGTATAGACTGGTCAGTGGATCTGAAGAAGTACAGAGTCTTGGCAGGTGAACCAGTGCGGGTGAAGTGTGCTCTCTTCTACAGCTACATCAGGACTAACTACACAATGGCCCAGAGTACCAAGCTTCGGCTTATATGGTATAAAAACAAAGGGGACTCAGAGGAGCCAATCATATTCTCTGGACACAGACTAAGCAAAGAAGATGACTCCATCTGGTTTCGATCAGCTGAGTTACAGGACAATGGATTTTATACCTGTGTGTTAAGGTAAGCACCCCAGGTTTAATTTAATGCACTGCACATGTATAACCCTGACAGCAGGTAAAGATTTCTCTATCAAAATAAATATGTATTAAAAATCCTCATTCCTGTAGACTGCCTCTCTGTGCCTTGTTCCATTTTTTAAAAAAAAAAAAATACGATTGAAGATGTAGCCTTTCATGTCTGATAAACCCAGCTACCTTGTTTATTAAATTTACCAGTACAGTATATCTGATTGAAACTGTGTAACGTTGTGTCCTTTAAAACAGAGGATGTCTCCAGTTTGCTGTATTAATACGAGAAACAAACCATAAACATATTTACCTAATTGTCACCTTCTGAAGTTATTTAAAACTTTTTAAAGATCTATACAATCTCCTTTGAGTAACTGTGTTGTGACAAAATATGAAATCAGTAGGAAGAAATTAAATATGGCATTGCACCCAGTATGACTGAAATTATCTCATGATTCATTATTAGAAATGTGTGTTTCAGTTAAAAAGAGATGGTAAAGAAATAGTTTATTTGGAGTTTATTTCTGTAGTGAAATATATTTTTACGCCACAGGTTTCCTAATTTGTGGTTACATATTATGTATCTAAAATATGTAGGTGTGTTCATATAATAAGAAGCCTAAGAACTATTCTTCCACACATGTCCTGTATGTCTTTACCTAATTTCTAGCAGTGACTTCTACAATTGTAAAAAAAATATCAGCACTTTCACAATGTCTTAGCTGACACAGTCCTTGGCCTACAATAATGGTATCTAATAACTCTAAATTTACATTCACTTTGTGCCCAGCAGTGATTCTAATTATGTTAAATGAGCAATTGATATGACTGGTGAAAGCTAGTATACTTTTCAGTCCAGCAGTAGATAGCAGTTATATGGAAACCTCTTTTTACCTGCTGAACAATTGGGTAAAAAGAAACATGAATTTAGCACTGGAGACATAAGACCTTATTGAGAGCTTGTTCTATATTTATAAGTACCTTCTGACTTACAGTACATCTGTCTTAATACTTTATTAAGTTATAATGCATCTTAAGCAAAATATTTTTTTAATGCAAAATATACATTTCCTATAAAAAATATAAAATATTTCAACTTGTGTTTAGGGGTTAGCGGCTCACAAATGGAAAATAAATAGTTTTCCATCACTTTTTAAAACCCCCTGCTGTTTAAAATCTTGTGTATACATATGAATGAATTCACCTGAATATACAAATATATCAGCGCATAAAACAACTGAGAATTACTCTGAAAACTGTGTTTGGAGTACAGTCATGAGCCATTAGGACACACTCAGTATTTAGAAAGGGAATAAGACATGCTTGTAAAAGACAATTGCAGTAAAATAACATTCCCAGTGACTGCTGTGTCTTAAATGACATAATGCTGTTTGAACAAAGAAATCTATTTTCTTTGAAGGGCCAGTGACCTGCAGGAGAGATAATGCGGTGTGTGTTTCTGGCAAAAGCACCCCGCGATGCATGACGACACAAAACGAAAAAGCAGAGAGGAGTAATAAGCCTGCTATCAATATGCAATTCTGCTTCACACTGGCAAGAAATGACTTTGCAGTACATGACTTGCAAACAGTGATTATGGGAATGTTAACACATTACTGTACTATACTATGCTGCTTCTCTTGGTTTCTCTTAGAATGCGATTATACTGTATAATAACTTTAACATGAACCATGTGCATGGTTATACTTCAGATAAGCAGTTCTCCATGCCTTATGAATGAACAGAATCACACACAATGATGCAACACACAACAACATACAGTACAGTAGCAACAAAGTCTACATTTGTATTTGCTAGTTGGCTGATGTTGCACCAGTTTCTAATGGTATTTTAGATTTCACTCCCCCCCACTCCAGTAAGTATTTTTTAAAACTAAGGCTAGACTTAAAACTCCCCTGAGGCTTACAGAGTAATCTACACCACCTGTCTTTTTTTTCCTTTCATGAGATAATTCTGCTCTCCACTATCCCAGTGGTGCCACGGACCCTGCCTCACAAATTGGTCTGGTATTTTACCCTTTCTATTAACCTTGCGAAAGAGAGAAACTGAGAGAAAGCTTGGCCCGTGCAATGTGCACTGTAACTTGTGTTCTTAAACACAGGTTAGGGATATATCAAAGAGCTTTTTACCATTGCCTGAACGTTTATTGCTTTAGTTAAGTTACAAAAAAATGCAGTCTGTGAAGGTGTAGCAAAGATGTGCAAATAAAAGACAAAGCGACATTCTACATGTATAACATAGCCTGCCACAGTACTTGTAATTACTGCATAACAAGAGAAAGAGTCTAAAACTTATTCAAGTCTCTTAGAACTCCATTTGCCATTTATAAAGAGAGAGTTTTATCTGTGCATTAATTTTGTACACATCTCACTAAGGCACAAATGCCATGTGTTTTATCTTCTATGGTACAACTTCAGTGAAGAAAAGTCACCTTGATTTGAGGCTGAATGGTATTGGGATATTAATGTCCTGTGCTACATACAATACATAAAACACTCACTGTCGTACCAGTGGAATCTGTTCATGGTATATTCTTATTAATTCTTTACATCTGTATTCTCTCATCTTTTTTTACTGCTTTACATTTTCCATCAGCAGGATACAAATGTTGAATTTGATAAATTTGATAATAGTTTTATTGTGCTCTGTTATGGAGACTGAACTAAATTGTATTAATTACATAATACAATATTATAATATGATGCACTAAAAAGAACAGTAAGAATTGATTAGAGTCTTGTGTAATTCTAAAGTAGCAACTAGCCATCTTGAACAAAATTTTTAAAACATTCACTGCAGCTTGCACCATGCAAAGGCACCGATGGAGATCTGAAAAGGAAAGACTAGTAGCAGTTTATTTCCATATTAATTTCAATTATTCTACATCCAATGCTAGCATTCAAAATCCGTTGTCATGATGGACTGTATGCACCATTCGTTGCGCTGTTTCAGGTCTAGTGATTTCCAATTGCCCCTGTATCTACAGATATTTTCTCCTTTACGGTCACTAAACAAAGTGTTTAGGCTATTTTTGTTGGTGTGTATTTACCACTGGACCACAGTGTTAGTTATGATTAGTTATCTAAGCAAACAAGGTACCACAGGGATATTAGACAAATCTTAATAAGCTTGCTTGCACTAAGCCAGGCAAAGATTTATTTTAATGTGACTCTGCATTTGCCTTTCTAACCAATTGTTTCAATGATCAAGACTGAGGGAGTCCAGAATGTCACCATACCTATAACTTTAGACTTGCAGGTACATGAGAACTGTTTCTCGAAAGCTTCCTTGCACATTGCTGCTTTAAATCAATATCTGTTAACTCTTTGTTCAAGATGTCTTGCCAATGTCTACTTTTGCCAGTGGTAAATTTTCCAGTGGAAAGGGTTTGCAAAGTCAGCAACTTCAATGGTTGAAAGCCCGGTTGTTTTTGATTTGCTATTCATGGAAGAGATCTACAGGGAATGCACTGTTAACCTTTGACCACTCAAAATGACCTTGAAAGAAAACATAAATACCAGCTCCATTCTTTGAATTATTCGTGTTATTTGTAACCTAAAAATTAAAGCCTTTTTACTTTGTTTTTCTAGAATTTAGGACAAGCCATTCATCTTTTTTTACAGCAAATAGTACAGCAAATACAGCAAAAAGACATAACCTAACTTCCTTAATGGGCTAAACTGTCATGTCTTCTATCGTCATTTATTACAGCATTTTGATGTACTGTACTTGTCAAATCACATTGAGGATACTGTGTGCAATCAAAATTAATATACAGTACTGTATTGAAACCTTTCAATTTGTAACAAAAACGTTTTAAATGTCTCTGTAAAATGCAACACATTTTCCAAAAATTCTAGGTATTTTTAAAATGTTTTTAAATGTAATATTTCTCGGTAGGTACATGTACCTCAGAGTACAAATGATTAATTCATACTTAACATACAGTACTTGCTAACCCAGAAATTACATTGGTTTGTTGATTAATTTATTTGATCAAAATCACAGTCTGATTTTACCCAAAATTCTAATTGTCTTCATGCAACCAGCTGCTTTTTCACATACTGTACTTTAGGGCACTATCTTTTACAGTACATTCTGAGCTGTTTAACCCAAAATGTGTTCCAGGCACTTCATGCTACTGCATACTCACTCTCCAATATATGTCCCCATCTGCCATTAAGACAGCATTCTGTAACCTCTTTCTTAACACCTGTTAGCAGGCCACTATGCAAAACATGGATGCTTGTACTGTAGTCAAATTAAGGTTGATTATTATTGAGCTCTTAAATTCTTATAATGATTACATGAAATGTCTTTATGTAAAAGCAGGATTATATTCATAAACTGCACCATTTTCTCCAACAGTCAAGTCTTTGTACAGTTACCAAGCCTGTAGGAACTGGTGTAGTCTAGATCATTTTCACTGGAAACACCTATTAGTAGGAAAGTGCTTTTTCCTTCATCTAAGTTACTTCATTTAAGACTTTACACTGGGCAAGATTCAGTGCCTCCCTATAGATGGACATTCCAGGAGAAGAGAGAATTGAGATTAATTCTCAATTAATTAATTAAACCAGGATTAAAAACCTTAATCTTCTAATGAACAGGGTGGATACATTAGTGACAGGAGTGCCTAATTGAGAGAAATGAACCATTGATCTTGGAGATCCTGTTATTCACAAAATACAAATTAGAAAAAAACAGGTAATAGTTTCTTATACTGTATACGTCAAGTGTGTTCCTTTAAAAGAGACAAATCTTCAGTATGTGTATGGAAATATACACAAAGGTTCTGTGCCAATGTTTTGAACCACTAGATTGGACATGTGTTTGTGTAGTGATCATTTTGAAAACCTTAAAAACCACAATTTAAATAACTCTGATCATTGACAGGCTAGACTTTGGATAGTATTATCTACATGTCATTTAAAATGAATAACAGTTTCTTTTTTGGAGTGATACTGTGTTTTCTTCATTTCATTGCATGAACAAGATTGTGCACCAGTTCTGATACTCTTTGTGGACCTGGGAGCAGTTCAGTCCTCATTTCTTTTTAAAATCTAATCTTACTTAAATTTAGAGGTGACCAAAACTGCCAGAGAGCACAAGTTCATTTACTGTACTTCTATTTTGCGTTTGATCATTATTGACTTGGAATCCACAAGCTGGCATGACAAATCCCAAATTTCCAATAATTATTATTTTGAGGGTCTTAAAAATGAGTACCATAATTTATAAATAAATAATTTGATTTCATCTGAATCATTTTGCCATAAAGGCCAATCATTTTACCCTCTTAAGACAAGAGGTTCACACTCTGTCATTTTTAATAAGAACCTGATTGTTCCCTCTGGTACTTGAAATTGAGATCAATCACCAGAGATTGGGTCTATCCATGAGTTTGTTTTGCTTGTAGCTTTTATAGTTAATTTACTGAGTAAACTGAGATCCAGCTAGTGGGATTTCTAATCTTGCCTGGAGTAGTAGTTTGATTGTCTTACTGGTCACCACTTTGAAATTTAACCTTAACCCTGATAAGTAAATTAAATGCTGATACAATATTTCTACATTTAATTTGCTGGAGTCTAAAGGCTTCAATAGTTTTCACTCCCATACTCTTCTTAATTAGAATATTATCAACATTTTCAACATGAATACATTGATGTCTTTTGTCATTTCATTTTCTTATGCATTTTGGACACATCATGATACAATTACAAATATTTTTTATTTTAAAACATGGTAGTCGAAGCTACCAACCAACGTATTTATAGAAACAGTTTATTTCTAGTTCATTGAAAGCTATTTTACAGGAATGCAGGGTGTCACACCTATAATATAATGTTATATTATGTCTATAATGTTAGAATTAATTAATGAAGCTAATGAGTTATAATTAATGTTTTAATTTTTAGAGGTGTGTACAGTTAACATACAGGTATATTGGCTTGAGTGTTGAAGCTTATTGAAATTCTTCTTTATTACCATATTTATTACCAATTGCATACTGTATGATGCAATTAAATTGAAAGGGTGTTGCATAAGCTTTTCATTTAAAAATAATTACATAATACATAAAATAATTACATAAAAAAGTACAATAACTAAACGTAATAATTGTTCATCTAAACTGTCATGAATAGATTAGTTAAAACATTGATTTTATTAGTTATACAGTACATCTGTTTTATTTTGCATTAGTTTTACTTTATAATGCTAGGAGTGAACAGTGAGTCAGGACTTTGACTCCTTTGTCTCCCTAATATTCTTCCAATACTGTACCGTACATAGAAATCAATGTTGTAGAACTACACAGATAAATAACATTGTCTGTTTCTGTATAGCTTTTGCATTTTATTTACAGGAAAACTATAGATGAAATATTTCAGGTCACACCAATTATGTAAGACATCAGGTCAACAAGAAAGTTGCCAGATCAATATCAAAGACTAAAACATTACATTTAAATAAATGCTAAGCTTTGAATCAGTTCTGATATAAAATAAGTTAAACCTATCTTTTATAATCTGGTGAAGCTGCCAAATTATGCAACAGGAGTGCCACCGTTTTTTCAGAAGATATACTTCTAAATAATATGAGATGTGGGAGTCTCCTCAAAGTTCACGACGAAGCAGCATAATTATTCATGCTGTTTAAGCTACAAAAGTGACAAAGTGATCTTAAAGAAGACTTAGGGTTCAATGTGGTGATGTGTGAAATAGCTTGCTCATTCATCTCCAATAATGCACTGGAGCACAGAGGTTACAATGTTTATGTTAATCAAAGCATTATTAATTTAAATTAAGTCCAGGGACTTCACTTTTATCTCTTTGTGGTGGATCTGAAGGAGAAAATCTAGTCGACGCTACTTAAGCACGATGTTTATTCTAAAATGAAATCGCGAACAAAAAAAAATCAATGTTTGCATTCTATGTCATGCCTGCTGCTAGAGGTGAAATTAGAAATGTAAAGCCCTCTCTATTCCTCTAGAAACTCAACGTACTGTATGAAGGTGTCAATGTCCTTGACTGTGGAGGAACATGACTCAGGCCTCTGTTACAACAGTAAAATCCGATACTTGGAAAAGGCAGAGATCACAAAAAGTAAGACAATCGCCTGCCCTGATATTGAGGACTACATTGCTCCATACAAACAACCCATGATGACCTGGTATAAGGTAACTTAAATGATCTTTCTCATTCATTGAATAATAAAAGCCCTTTTACACAACACAAAATGTATTGATACAGTAACCTAGAATGTCAACATCAAGCTCAGAGTGTGGAGAGGAGAACGGGTTCTTTTCTACAGCTGGATAAGGACTATTGTAAATGATAATGGGAGTTTATTTAGAATGTCTAATACATTGAGCCACAAGGTTGTCAGTTTGTCTCAAGCGTACTTACAAATTGATTTACAATTGAGAATTGATATACAGATTCCTAAGAGCAGAAGATACAGAACAGGAGCTGTCACTATCATTTTAAGCAACTTTATTCACAATCACGATCCCTATTTCACGGGTCAAGTGTATAAGGTTATCAATAATGAGATTGCTTCTCAGCTTTCCTTTATAGATAGCTTTCCTTATTTTGTTCTCCTAATGATTGTAATATCTTAGTGAGATTTTAAGCTGCAGAGCTGCAATCAGCCCTGGAAAACATTATGAAAAAGAACCGAAAAAAGGATGTTGTGAAATGTGGGATCGTTGAAATATAGTGGGTAGAATCTATATTATTTGTAGAATCTCATTTTAGAAAATGAGCCACAAAGTCCCCTTTCACTTGTAAGTTAGAGAAAGGACAGCTGATGTTTATGATTTGAAGTACAGTATGCGCCATATTAACCATATTAATTTAAATGGTTGTATCTTTAGGAATACAATGTCAGAGATACTTTATCAGCATCCTTTCTTTTGCAGGAATGCCAGAAAACAACATGGAGGAGCTCAATAATAGTGAACACAACAAGTGTCACAATACCAGAGATTGAGGAAGGGGATGGTGGAAATTTCACATGTGAATTGAAGTACGGCAGTAGGGTGGTGAGGAGGACCATAGAGCTGAAGGTTACAGGTAGGTTTTGATGCTATTAAAGCTTAAGCAGTGTTTACAATTGCAAAAAGTCTTTTGCTAAATTAATAATCAAATATGGCCTCAGAACGTGTAAGGAATTCAACAATTTTCTGGCTCACTGAAAACAATATCACAAAAATGTGTGTGTCGGGTGTGCAAGCATTGGTACAGCACAGCATGAGATTTAGTATAGTTGTAATCCAAAGTTTAATGTTCCCAAAACTGCAATGTACTATGACTTTTACGAAGACCTTTGGAATGCATGCACAGTGAAGTGAATAGTTGTGTATCATGTATCAGAAGTGCACAGATGTAAGGAAACAGCTGTGGACTGTAAGGAAAATTGTCCACCATGTCTAAGGTTCCTCTTATTTGCAATGTTCATATTAGTACTGATTTGAGTGTTATCTAGTGATTGAGATGATGTTTGTTTCGCATTTTTGGCTTATACTTTGGTCGTGCTCAAGATGCAATTCCAGGCCAGTGAACTTGACCCTGGGGGTATTCAGAAAGTCCTCACTGTAGAAGCTGCAGCTGTCTATTCCTGTGTGAATTCCAGTTCATCAGCAGAATCACAAGGCTGGCGTCAGAAAGGAGTGAAACCACTGCATTTCTGTTACAGCTGCAGTTTCATTGCAAAATAAAAAAACACAGTGCCAATTAAGCATTAATCAAGTAAAAAGACAGTCATATCCATAAACACTACTCATGCAACTTTTCTAGTTTAATAGCAACAAATGGTGCAAATACACTGCATACTGTATATGCAGGTTTTTATACAGTATGTTAATAGGCTTGGCTACAAAAGAAAAATAATATTTTGCCATAAGGTGCATAAAGACCTTGGGTGAACACAACATACACAACACGCCAGAGTGGCTACTTCATCTTGTTTGTCTTCATATCCTCTACAATACTATTGTATGATATTCACATTTATTTCTCTGCATTCAGATATGACGTATACCGTATTTAATAAACTACACCATCACCTGCTATCGTTTACAGAGGCACCACTCTGATTGCAAGTTTGTATTGCTGTCACCTGCAGTGCTGCATTCCAAACAGAAGAGCGAACATAATCGACCCATTGAATTTGATGCATGTTAGAAACCGCTGAAAGAAAACGATGGTTCTCGCTAAGCAATAGTTAGCTACGTAATAAATATTCCAAAAGTGTTCAAGGGAAAATGACTTTTCGGGAAATGGATACCTCTGGCTAAATTTAATTCTGTCACTCTGGAAAGTGAGAAGGTGTAGGAATGCACATCATAAGCACTGTAAAATGCATCATATTTTGCTGTCATTTTTGTCAGCAATATTAATTGTGACAGAAATATCAGCCTCTCCTTAAGCTCAGTGCACTTTATATGCCCTAACTTTTCAGTGTCTAGTCTAACATTTGCCCTTGTGCATCTATCTCTTGACCTATTTGTTTTATGGTTTCACAAAGCGTTTGATATGTTTCTTTTCCCCCTGGCTGAATTGGCAGATCAAAAAATGCTTCCTGCATTTTCCTGCTAATTTGGTAGAACTAGAAAAGAAATACTGTAAAAGATTTGCATGAACAGAGATGATGTTCTTTCCATAAATGTAAAAATTAAAAACGTATAAATCCTGGAAACATTTTTTCTTGTTGATCAAGTTATACTGTACCATAAGTCATAAGCAGATACTCTGAATTATTTCATTGTGTTCTTGCAAATAAAAAATGAACAGGTGTTTTTATTCTGAATATATAGGGTAGAACACAACTTACAATAGATAAGAAAAAGCCCCAGTTAATTATTTGATTAGTGTCTTCTCATTATACCTGATGTGTACAAATGACTCTGAGATAACCAGAGATAAATGGGCCCTGAATGCACCAGCTGTAAACCGTATGGATTATTCCATCTGTATTCTGTTTAGGGGAAGAAGGAGATATGTACTGTAGCTCAAGCTCTTTTTGAGCTTCAAAGGTGACTGTGGCATTGTGCAGGTGATTAAGCAATGAGAATAGCAAAGACTTTTAAGAAGTACAGTACATGCCTAGTGAGCAAGAGAGCACCGATGACAGTATTTATATTGTTTTTTTACAAGCAAACAGCTGCCTCCAAATTCAGTGAGACCAGTCATCTCAATTGCTGTGTGTTTTGAATGTGATTACCTTAACATTCTTTTTCGAGATCTGAAATCACTCTTCATCATTTCTAGTGCTCACTGTTCTCTGAATCTTTGAATGCTGTTGAGACCATTTGTCAAAACATTATAGTGTAACGGCAAATATTGAAGTCCCTTTACATGTGCCTTGTAGATGTCCTATTTTGCTTAAAATGCTCTCCTATTTTGTTGAATTACAAATGATTAACACAAAGCAACTTTTTAATAGCTTTTAATCAACACTTAAATTCTCAAACTGTACACTTGTGGGTGAAATGTCACATAATCGCACAATGTATAGACAGCTACCATCTTTGTTTACCATATAAAGCCATTACATACTTCAGAATCTCTAGATTCTTCTGATAACTCCACATACTGTAGATAATCACTTATACACAGATTTCACATTAACAAACTTAATAGATCATCACATCACCACAGTGGACACAACCTTTGGCTGTGGGCAGACATCTTGTTGTCCTCTCTGTGCAGACTTTTTTAAAGTGAGAAAATTGTAATTCCTCTACCCCATGCCCCAGAATATTAGAAAACGTGACCTTCAGAAAATGTCTTTCTGTTGCTCCCCCTTTACAGCTTTACCAAACAAACCCTTCTTTTTCAGAAGCAAAATGATTGTACACGTTTCCGTATTCGACCATCTGAGGAAATCTGTGAAGACTATCCCAGCAAAACGCATGACCAGCTTTGTTGTAAACACTTTTTTATCATTGAGACTGGGAAGAAAAATAGCTTTTTCAATTAAGTGCAGAAATTTCTTTTTGTGGCAATCATAAATATTTGTGTTTAGTGAAGACCAAATGGAAATTACATTAAGCCTTGACACTGGTGCATAATGGAAACTACTTAAGAGTGTGTGCCAATGGAACTGTACATCATATCCAAAACAGGTAGTCCTGGGACTTGGCAGTCTGTCTGGGGTAGGGTGGGGTGAGAGGACAAACCCTTTAATATGGAAAATATCTGAGAGCAGAACACAGTCTACAATATTCATTCAACTGTTAAATGAACTCTTCCTTTACATGTTTATAACATCAGAAAAAAAAACTGAGGACAGCTTACGTATCTATCTCATTTCTTTGGAAGTATAGTCAACGTCAGAAAGGAATTTAAAATTAAAGGTCTAAGGCATCTTCTCCGGGTCACTTAGCACTTCTGATGTGGAAGGGCTGTGTTTAACCAGAGACTGAGAAGGCAAAAGGTGCAGTTCTGTATATTCCATCTGATTCACTCACTGACTTGGAAAATTAAAAACACAAATGGGCTCATTTGCTCATCAACAGGAATATTATCTTGGTCATTGGTCAAGCAAATTGCATTATATCATCTAAAGATATGTTTTAGGAACAGGACTATGAGAGTCCCAGTTTATTTAGAAGAGATAAAGTGAGAGAGTCATATACTCTTGAGTTTATATAAAATACTGACTCAATCACATAGTCTACATGTTCTCAACCCCTCTGTATAAATATTTCCTTTATTACTGTGCCAGAAACTCATATTCCTTAGTGGGAGTGGGAAGATCTGAATGAGACTATTCTTTATAGCCATAATAACAGCATCAAAAAGTACCTTAAAGCTCTTTTCTTTATCTTGAATAATTTAAAACAAAAGGTACAGGTAGTAGATAAAAAATTGAAACACTAATGTAAAGTCACACCATGACAGCTATAATTATAGACAGCCAGGCCTGTCCAGCATTTTTATAGATTACCCTAAGCATTCTGAGATGTTATTTCTATAATTAACACATGGGTCTCACATTTTTGGAAGCCCTTGCTTTCAGTATATTTAATGTTGATCTTTTACTCAGGTGTTTCCATTTTTTTGGTACCTACCCGAAGGTTATATCAAGAAACTAACCTCATGATATAGGAATCCCCATTATAACTTTGAATATAGTGCTATGGTCACAATATGTGGTACTTACTGTATAATTAATAATAATAATAATTGCTTACACTTATATAGCGCTTTTCTGGACACTCCACTCAAAGCGCTTTACAGGTAATGGGGACTCCCCTCCACCACCACCAATGTGCAGCATCCACCTGGATGATGCGACGGCAGCCATAGTGCGCCAGAACGCTCACCACACATCAGCTATCAGTGGGGAGGAGAGCAGAGTAATGTAGCCAATTCATAGAGGGGGATTATTAGGAGGCCATGATTAGTAAGGGCCAATTGGAAATTTGGCCAGGACACCGGGGTTACACCCCTACTCTTTTCGAGAAGCGCCCTGGGATTTTTAATGACCACAGAGAGTCAGGACCTCGGTTTTACGTCTCATCCGAAGGACGGCGCCTGTTTACAGTATAGTGTCCCCGTCACTATACCGGGGCATTAGGACCCACATGGACCGCAGGGTGAGCGCCCCCCGCTGGCCCCACTAACACCTCTTACTGTATATACGTAATGTGATATATTACCCAATTTCATACTAATGAACAATCAATTTTAAATCTGTATTTTTTAATAATTACTCATATGTAAATAATAAATTAAAATGGCTAATTTGAAGAAAAAGGGGAAATTATGAGGAGAGGATCATCAGATCTTTGTAAAATGACAATTTGGATACCTAAATCAATAAAGCAGATAGGAAAAAAAGTCTTCTCTTTCGCTTCAATAACAGTTTAAGAGTCTTGATGGAAGTCTTAAAATTTTTAAAAGGAAGAAATAAAGTTGATTGTGGATGTAAATCAATGTAACCAGTCCAATAGAAGACAAATCAGATTTAGTACTAATAGGATTTTTTTATGTAAACTGAGAGCAATGTTAGGAATAGTTTTCTGACTTAAACTGAAGAAGCTGAATCTCTTTAGAGCCATATGGAC